CCCCCCCCCCCCCCCCCCCTCTCTCTCTCTCTCTCTCTCTCTCTCTCTCTCGCTCTTTTCAATCCGAACGTTTGGAATATCTGTGTGAAAACTGTTTTAAATAGGAAGCTAAAACCGAGGAGACATACTCCACAAATGCTTCAAATTAACAGCAAAAAGAATGAACGGGGTGTCGTATGTCTCGTTAGGTTCTTGTGTGCTTTTAACGATCTCTAAGACTGCTTTAAAGAGGACTGTATGGACTGTGTGTATGTGTAGAGCCCATAGCGGACCAAAGTATTCTCCTGCCAGCCGGGGTGGGGGGGAGGAAATGTCTCCAGCCCAGCTCCAGGAGCGGCGAGCTCGGTACCCCATCGGTGCGCACTGGAGCGGGCGGCTTTTATTTGATTATTGGAGGGAGCAGTGATGGGGAGATGGGAGGTTTCTGCTCCCGCCGCTCGCGCGGTGGCGGTGACGGGACGGGGGCTCAGACCGGGGCTGGGCTGCTCGACTGCTGGATGCCACGCTCTATCAGCAGCCTGATATTCCCCCACTACGCCCCCCCTCCCTTTCCCCCGGTGCCTTAGTCTTCCTGCCCCGCTTATTAAAACGCCCCTGCTCTTTATTTCATTCTCGAGACGTCCGTTTGTCTTCCCCCCCTGAAGCAGCTGCCTGCGGTCCGGCACACCTGCTGGTCCTCCCCGGGCCCCGCACTCTTCATCTTCTTCTCCTGTTCCTCCCTCCTTTAAATTTCTTTACCTTTTCTCTCTTGGAAAGGGGATAATTACTGTTTAGGCAAGGGAGGATTTCCCTCCCGGCCCCCGGCCTCGCTCCCTGCCCAGCACTCCTCACTGCCAGCCGCCCGCCGGCGGCAGCGGAATTTCAATTGGACGGCGACCGGTTTAAGTACGAGTACGAGGAGGGGGGCTGAAGGTGGCGGGGGGAGGGGGTGAGGAAGCGCGTGCCGATTTGCCCCATCTGCTGACCCAGCAGAGCAGAAAGTGGCTCGCCGAGATTCGCCCAGGCGCCACAGGCCGCACAGTTAGTCGAAAGCCCATCATCCTGAACCCCCGGGCCCCTTTGAGCCCGGCGCCTCGCCGCTGTGCTGTGCGCCGGGCCCGCTCGGGCGCACAGTAAAACCGGCAGTAAAAGGATACACCAGGAATCGAACTGCGCTGCGGCCAGACTCGCCATCGGCCGCCATCGGCGCGCCGAGTGGGGAGCGCGGCCGCGGCCGCCCGACCGAGCTGGTTTATTTGGACTGCAGTCGCGGCCGCCGCATATGGACTCGACCAGCCCTTGATCTCTCCCTCGCCGCGCTCACCCTTCCTGTGCTCGCCCTGTCTGCGGTCTTGGTATTTGCTCTCCGCCCCCGCCCCCCAGCCCCGTGTGAGCGCCGCCTTGTGAGAATAAGGAATTTACTGTAGGTATAACGGATCGCGTGGACGTGCGCCCTGTGCCCCACGGCCTGCTTACGCCGCCGTGCATAAAACTTTATGTTCTCCGCGCCCTTTATTGGTCCCGGTGAGTCTCGCCGCTGCCGGGCATTAGCATTGGGGTCCGAGGCGTTTGTCTGGGGCCCTGGGGCCGGCACCGGGGACAGCGGCGGCGACGAGTGTGGGCCGCGTTCTCGGGCGCCAGCGCAGCCGGCGGGGGCGGGGAGGGCTGGCAGGGCTGGCAGGGCTGGGCTGGGCTGCCGCCACCCACCGGCTCACGTAAAGGCGTATTGGAAAGCTTTGGAGGCACTCAGAGCAGCAGGGCGGACCGGCGGCCGAGGGGCCGGGGTGGGATCACCACCAGGCATCGCGGTTCAGATATCCAGCAGCAGCAGCAGCAGCAGCAGCAGCAGCAGCAGCAGCAGCAGCAGCAGCAGCAGCAGCAGCAGCAGGAGGACGAGGATGAGGACAGGGAGGAGGACGAGGGGGTTGAGAAGTGGACTGGGAGGGAGGGGGGTTACACGAGAGGCAGAGTCTGGCAGAGCCGTCTCCGTGCCAAGAGAAAAGAGACAGAGACAACAGACAACTGGGCGAGTGATAGCCTCAAATATTTCACCTCCGATGTCAGTCAGTAATCGTCAGTCTTCTCCCGGAGGGGAGGATGAGATGCATTTCGCTTCCTTCGCCCTGCTTCGTTCGCTAGTAATTCATGGCTGGGGGCGGTGGGTGGGTGGCCGTCACTCTGAAGGAGTATCGCGGGGGCGTCGCGGGGCGTCGTTGGGTCCCAGAGTGACAGGGCGGGGACGTCAAGAGAGCCGAGTGAAATAAGCTTACGGAGACGCGCGTCGGGCCGCCAGGGGGTGCCCCCCGAGGGGCAGCGCGGGGGCGGAGAGGTAGGGAGGGGGGGGCGTGACGCCAAGGCCCCAACTACTCTGATTACAGCGCCACTGATAGCGAACGAGGGGGGAGAAATGCTAAACTTAATGTGGGGGAGGAAGCAAGCGGGGTGGTGGCGCGGGGTGTGTCGCGGCTCATTCCATCCCATTTGGTGCGAGAAAGAGAGAGAGAGGGAGA